TGGTATTTTCTATGGGCCTTGATTCCCGCATTTACAGTCCTTTCTATAAACAATGAGGTATTAATACATCTCTATTTAAGATTGCTAGATTTATAAACCGACACAGAAATTTCCGCCAGCCAAGGTGCCAGGCTGAAAAAAAGACAGGGCGGAGTCAAGTTTTTCTGTAGGTTAATACGGGATCAAGACATACTTATACATATAAGAGACCCTATGTATATGGTTACTACATTTAAATAATAAATTTATTGATTAAAAACTTATAGGTACATGAACCCGTAGCTTTCAATACCAAATAATTACATTTTATTACTCTAGTAATGGAAAATGGAGATGAAAAATAAAAAGTTAGGATCAAGGGTCCTTAAATTACATAAATTTTAACGTATAGGAAACTAACAAAATTAATGAAATCAGCCATACCATTGTTTAAACGAAATAACAAAAGTGTTTTGACTTTTTCGTAACCAATACGTGTATGTTAATTATATACTTAAGGTTGATGTAATAGTACATAGGCAATAAACAAAGGATATTCATTTAAAGCAGTAGTGCTTTAGTGCAATTAATTCCTCAGTGGGGTTTAAGACGCTGGATTCAATTCCCAAAGTCGAAGTACAATTGCCGCGAGCAAAGGTGTTCTATGTGGTTGTCTTTGCTTGCTGGATACAGCTTAAATGTCTGCGATACTTTGAAGCAGTGCTTTTCAAACTAATGCTTAATATGATTTTCTGGTATAGAAAATAACGAAACCTTTATTATATAGTTATTAAGAATTTTATACTGCTAGACTTATAAATCTAAAGACCTTTATTTACTAGAAAAAATCTCCAATTGGTCCTGGTCCTGTCCTTGGTCCTGTCTGATACCGCGTCCCAGTGGAGTTTTTTCTAGTAAAAGTATTATGGATTTTGTGACACATTACTGATGAAATGCAGTAAATGACTGTAACGCTACTGTTAGTGCAAATAGTTAGGTTGTGCGGCAGAAATATTCATGCCGTGCTGAACAAACTGGTTCAGGAAGAGAATGAGCACCTAACAAGGTTTCAACCTAACCTCTCTTCTCCGGGGTTCCTTATGAGGATAAAAAAACGAATTAGAAATTCTTTCGAAGTGACATATAAAACCTAATGAAAAGTTGTAATAATAGACAGTCATCCCGTCTAAGATTTCTTGTGGGGTTTTTGAAGAGGCTGTAACATGCGTATCAAAACTAAAAGAGTTTATTATTAATGATGATCTTTTAGAAAAAGAAATCCACACGACGGTTTTCTAACTGCAATGATTTCTTTGCACGTTTTAGTTAGTTTTTGTATTGTTTAGTAAGTATTTACTATTATTTTTAATTCCAATAATAATATTAGAGCCACAAAAACTACTTGAAAAACGACAAAATATAAAAACATTAAGTTTACATTGAATCCCAACCCATACAGTCCACAACAATTTTCACAAGTATATGAGACACTGAGATTGAACACAAGCACGAACTTGCACTATTCGACACTAGGCATACTAGGACAGAAAACGAATTTAAGTTTATTTCGAAATGTTGTGGCGAAGGATTTTTTTATAAACATTTCTAACACTAAGATAAGGATTAGTGGTTATATCAATACTCGACAATAACATTTATTCATTTATTTCCATTTCAAATCTATTTATATTTACAACTTTTAATATAGTGTCAGATTATGCTTAACCAAAGTTTATACGGAGGAGAAATACAGAAAGGTAATATTTTCACTTACCAAAATAAAATTTAATCATTTATGAAGCTATATCAAATAATTTATAATGTAGATCTTCTTAAGGAATTTCGTTTCTATACGATATTGAATTGTAGCGCGGAGATCACCGAAAACATGGGTGTCGTATATCTATGAAGGTAGTGCCTTTAGAGGATTAAGCAAATGGGTTTCGACCCAACAGTCATTTAGGTCTACATTTGATTTTACACACCTGCGTTTATAGCTGACCCTTTTAATGTCTTTAGTTTGGTCCAGTTACTTTGAGTATCAAATAAACAAAATAAAACAGAGTGTTCTGCCTAAATTAATGTAACATTATTGTTTTAATAAAATTTTGACTCGAAGACCCATACGATACCATCATGTTTTATTTCATTGCAGGCTTGCTAAATTATAAGATTCAGCTTGAGAGTAAAAAGCTACAGTATAATAAACATCACACACATAGCCTCAACTCAACTGCGCCACATTACGCATTAGTTAGGTCTAAGTTGTCAGAGATTGAACTTTAAGTTTTTGTCAGCAGCAAATGATTAACTATGGCTTAGTTAAGTGAAATAATGGAATAATCCAGATCAATACAAACGATGGTGGGCGCGTCGCTGTCGGGGCATTTGCTCGATTGACTTTTAGCTTGTCCGCTTTTGACGAAGGTTGTGCCTGAATTAAGCCCTAATTTTGCACTGTATCTAACGTGGTGTACAGGACAACAATAATTTATTAAGGTTAACACAATTTTAATGTACATTTTTATACGATTTAAATTATTTCTTGGGTAAAGGAGATCGGAGCTAATTTTTGATGAATTTATTCTGCTTTGTCCAGACAAAGATATGTCAGTTTCAACATTCTCTATATTATTTATTTAATAATTTTCTTTATTTATTGATAATTTACACCGGAATATGATAACATAAATAAATAAAATATTCAAATATTGTCTTTTGAGATCTCTCTCTTGTTTTCACTGTACAAAAATTTCTTTTTTTACTCATTGTTCCAGGGCAGCTTCGTGAAGGAGAATTCATGCATCTGTTTATTTTTGTCAATGACAGCTATACTTAGGTATCACTTAATACTTGTACTGAAGGTTAAACAAGTTTTTATTATTATTTATGTAGAGTAGTAGTAGATAGAGAAAAGCAAAAATAAAGTTGAAAATACGGGGGAATTTTAAAAATTGAATATAAATAATTTAACGCGATCAAATTTTATAGAGCATAAATAAAATCTCCTTGAAAGTTACCCTGAAAGTAATTCAAGCTATTAGCCACGCCATAAATATCTGGCCACCGTATTATGGGATTTAGAACCAGCATGTACGGTCCTGATGGAGGTTTAGTGGGTAAAAGTTGGACATTAGGAAGGTTTTGTGAATTTTAAACATCCTAAATTAGAAGCAACTGTACGTTCTTGCAAACTAATTTCTGTTAGCAAAATTAAAAATTAGTAAATTACACTAACTAGTCTGGCTATAAATACTGTTACATAAAAACTTTTCTTTTTTTTAACTTTTTACCTATTTTGAATTTGGAACACATATATTATTTTGAAAACTTCTTTCGATTTTGCATATGTTGTCGTTTAAAATAGTAATGTTATATAAAAACAATTATTATAAAGTCTACGCACACAATTCTAAAGAAGCTGCTCAAGTGGTCGTAAAAGATACAACGTGGTCATCATCCTGCGTCAGTGATGGTTTGGTGGGCCGTGTCTTATAAAGGAGTCACAAAACTACATTTTTGTGGAAAAGAAGTAAAAACTTAAGCCAAAGTGTATCAAGATACAGTCTTGGATCATGTTGTGAAACCTCAAAGCAATACACTTTTTAAAAATTTACCGTGGACCTTGCAGCAGGATTCCCCAACTGGTCACAAGGAACGAACTACATAAGCCTAGCTTGAAACCAAAGTTCCGGTCTTTATAAGAGATAAATACTGGCCCTCATCCAGCCCAGACCTCAATAATTTAGACTTTAAATTAAGGTCAGTTTTAGAGTACATGGCCTGCTCTAAACGACACGGCAATATTGAGTCTCTTAAAAAATCTTTAGAGCAAGCAGTGGCGAAATTTCCCTTGAAAACAATGCGTAAATCCATAGATTCGTGGCCAAACAGATTAAATGTCTGTATAAAAGGCAAAAGGAGGCCATTTCGAATAGAATATTTTGTTTATTTTTACTTATAGATTATTTGGCAGTTCCTAGCCGGATCTTATGTAATCTTTGCGAATTACTTTTTTGCATAGAGAAGTTATTTGCAAGTTATTGATGTAAGTACCCACTGATTGTGTAATTATTTTTTGAACGCGATTATAATTCTCTTACGTAGAGAACAGAGTCAAAAGAAAATCATATAGCCTGCTTAAATTCTGCTTAGCATAATTTTAAAAGATTTGCCTAACAATGTCTTTAGTTATTAAGCAAATATTTGTTTTTTGTTTATACAATCGGATCTGCGTTTTGCACCGCCGGCGTCGCGGACGGTTACTTAAGCTGATTAGCGCTGCGAGGGCTGCTTGTGACTTTAATTAAGATTTGAGCTACGGCCGTACGCCAAATTACTACGTTTATGATATATGAATGAGTTGCTTTCGAAGAATGATATATAAACAATGTCACACTTTTCCGGAAACAGACGTTGTTACTGTTACCAGATCAGGTAGCGTAAATTCTCTTATTAGAATTAATCTAAATTCGTCGAAATATAATATTGTTTTACTATAATTGTTGTAAACTATAACTTTAAGTACCTCCCAGTAAGTTAAATACTATATATCATGTTCAACAATTTGATTTTCTGGTTCTACAGGAAATAAATTAAGTAGGTAGTAGGTTTAAATTTATCCGCCCGATATTGTCATCATTATCATTACATTAATACATAAAGGAAGAATATTCGTGCCCCTTTTAAATCCCAAAGCTGGAATACAGAATACTGTAAATTTTTTCGCATACTTAAAGTTTTTATGGAGGACTGAAAAAGTTCATATTTCTTTTAACAAACATACAGGCAAAAGTATAAGTTTTTTTTAGTTTTCATAACTAAAGCTTGATGTCACCTACTAAATAAAGGGTAGCGTTTTCAATTAAACGAGTCACGGTCAACCTTCCACTGAAAGTTTGCAGTCTAGACATAGATCACGATTCTGAGACGATTAAGCGTATTCATAGCGTTTGCATTTTGACGTCGCGCGGCCGTCAGAAGCAACAGGGCAGCGATTGGAGGGTTGCGGGCACATGCGCGAAGGCGCGCGCGGGGGGCAAACGCTCACAGCCTCCACGCTCCTTTAATGAATCGCCGGTTACCGCGGCTCGCGCTGCGCTCGTGCTATACCGCGCTAAAAAGTTAAGGCCCTTCGCGCCGTCTCCCTCGCGCCATCTACTACACGGTAAGTGGATGCAACTGATGCGTTTCCGTGTAATTAATTGCTGGTATAATATTTTTGATTTCCTTTGTTTGAAACTTTGATGTTTCACAGCTGACGTAAGTGTAAACTTTTGTGTTGCTATAGCAACGTTTGTTTAATTTCTATGTTTTGTTTGGAGTTTTATTTTGTTTTCGTTTTATCGATAAGTTAAAGGTAGAGTTTCAATACTGTGCATTTGTTATTTAATAGAAAATTAAAGAGGAACTAAAGTCAAAGTGTTAATACAAAATTTGTTTCCTATGTTCCTACCAAAACAAGCTTAAGAATATTGAAATTTAAATAATATACAATAAATATACATCTTTACTTATCGGTTACCAAAACAGTAGTAAAGCTTATTTACAACATAAATAAACTTGTTTTAACTGATTTATTTATGTGAAAGTGAATATACAAATGTTGATTATTTATTAATTCATTACTTTTTGGATATGTATAGTTTCTTCGGAGAATTATTACTACGGTAAAACAAGATTTATTGGCTTATTCAACGATTAACATACGTATCTCGCAACCACGTACACATTTATTTTTTAAATCGATTCCAGCATGGTCAATTCTTAAACAAGGAAACGGACAAAATATCATATAATATACATTCAAATTCATAACATTAATTAGATAATATAAAAACGCGTGGTTTATGGGTTTTAATGACGCCAGTACAGAATTAGTCATGATGAAATACAATGTTTTCTACTCCTGAAAGTGCTAAGAAGGCTTATCTTATGTTTTTTTTATATAAAACGTTCAATTATACGTTGGAGCACATAGCTCTTATAGCATTTCTTTACAAATTTTTCGGCATCTCACTTCAATTGTCCCTTTGTTCTAACTGGAAATACGTGAGATTTTGTGAACTCCAATCAAATAAAATTACAAACAATAATGCACCAACACAAACGTTTAGAATGTTTAAATTCTTTGCCTCTGAGAAATCGCTGAGCAAACAAAAAAGGAGCTGACTTTTAAAAGTCAGTCGTCTGTAAGAGGGAGACAACACCCAAATATATATATATATATATATATTTAACGGAGAAGCAGTGTCACCACAAATTCGGGCATTGCCACCCATTGTCTCTGATAACAATAGATCTATCAATGTTACACTCGAACCGAATGAACAGCCAATCGGTAACAAAAACATCCCCCCTGCTTACGCCAAACGTCGTCCCTGGAAGACCTGTTTTAACATTTCCCCCTCATTTTTTCCATTGTCTCATTAAATGATAAGACTTAAGCGCATTTTTCATGACATTTTCAAATTGTTTGATACCGGTTGGCATATTTTCGTGTTAAATCGGCCCTTCTCCATCATTGCGGTAAACTGTTTTTGTTACTTTTTTCATATAACCTTGATTTGGATATACAATATTTGTGTTTATGTAAGGATAAGATAAAATAAACGGGAGTTTGTTAATACTTTGGTTTGGGATGTTCTTTTATGAAAAAAGTCACATATTCAAATTGTTTCCTTTTAAACGAATACAACAATTAATGTACAGCAATTTGATTTTAACAAATGACGATTTAGTGCTACCACGTTGGATTAATTGTTACACTTTTAGAATATGAAATTACAGTTTTAGAAGTATAATAATAATTAAATCGTATTAAAATTAGATGTGCGCTGTTTGAGATCACGTCATGTGTTTTTAATTAATTGAACGGGTGTCCCGTTATTTTGATATCATAATAGCGGGTCCACTTTCTTAGTTGAATATTTTAAATTGTTTGAGCGTAGGAATTTTCTATGAAAATATAAAATAACAGAAATTGTGCAATAAATAATCACAATATATTTAAAGAACCTGGCGGAGTCCCGTCATCTTGACGTTCTTGAATAATCCTTCTCGAAAGTTAAAGATTTTATCTGTAGAAATGAATAGGTACTTATGGCATCTTCAACCATGCTGCGTACAATGTATAAAAAGATGTTCTAAGATGATAAGGGAATAAGTACCTATGTATCGGTAGATTTAGACGTCTTGAATGGAAATGAAAAAAAAAATCTTGTCAAGGAAAATGTTATTGTAAATTTTATGAAATAAAAATTCCCTCCTTAATCGGTTCCTCGGTGCTGAGGACCTTGCGTAACCCCTTTCACATCGTCGACTTGGCCCGGACGGTGGAGCGCCACGCTTTGCAGTCAGTTGCCAGTCGACTTTGCCGATCAGAATAGTACGTTCGAGGTTGTCGGGGTCTCTACGAACCACATGACCGAAATATTGGAGTGACCTATGTATAACGGTCGTTGAAAGACGACCTGTGTTTCGTGTTTTGAGCTCTTCCAATATCGAGATGTTGGTTCGGCGCGCCGTCCATCGTATCAAGTATTTTACGCTAATACCACATCTCGTCAAAAGCGTCAATGCGTTTAATGTCATCGGCTTTTAAGGTCCAGGTCTTTGAACTGTAGGAAAAAATGGAAAACACGAGTGTGCGTACTAAAATTACTCATGATAATAATAAAAAAATATTTTATAAAAAAATCAGCATGATGCTGGTGGTGAGAACCGACCATTTATATTAATAGACCTTTAATTAGCCGTCATTGAATAACAATGTTGATATAATCATAGTCTTTTAAGCCGGGTCTCCAACGGGTGATTTGACCTATACAACCAACAAAAACATAATAACATTTAACAAAATCGTCTACAGTGTAGACTCTACACAAAACTTTGTTTCACTATAATCATAATCAAAATCATTTATTCAGCTTAGGCTGTTACAAACACTCATGAATGTCTAGAAGCTACGCCAAGGGTGCGTAAATCTCGCCGTAGATTTACGAACCGATGGCGTAGCTACTGCGTGGGGGACCTTGTACTGAGATGAACCGACAAGAAACTCAGCAAGGGCTGTTTTTTCTACCTGATTTATAATTTTAGTCGTCAAGTTCAAAAATGACTTCAGACATTATTCATGAACTCACCTTTCATTACATAACGTGAAATACGATTCGTTCACCTGCATTTTGATTGCTGTGTCATACAGTATAAATACAAAAAGTATTATTTACGTTAGGTGAAACTATTAACATCTTCAATATCAAAGTATTTAGTGTAGACTCATCTCCGCTGGCAGAACCCGTTCACAAGCATGACACATGAACCAGCCATCGCTTCGCTCAACCATATTTTAGGGAAGGTAACGACCCGCCTCATACGACACCACCGTAGAGACGATTATTATTTAAGAGAGCATGACTACCCATAACCACTAATACTAACTACAACATACACACTTCAAAAAAGTTTGAGATCAGTTGCAAAAACTGTATATTTTCAATTAAGAGAATTTAATTTAAGAGAAAATGTTTACGTTATAACCTTTTTCTATTTAAAAATACACTTTCTGAAATTGAAAAATATAACTAATTTTATTTTTTAGTATAAAAAAATTAATAATTCAATTCTAAGGCGATTGTAAAAGAACTTTGATATAAATAAAAATATAGTTTAACCAAACTTCAAACCTTTTATTAATAAATTGTTGTTTATCTAATACAAACTAACTTCTCCTCTGGCTTGAACACATGTGGAGATCCTCCTGGGCATGCTGAGGATCAAGTTATCCAGAATTTCTTGTGGTAACCTGTCCTATTCTTGAACAGCAGAGCTGCGGCACTGTCTGGGGTAGTGGCTGCAGGTTCCAAACAGCTTGCTTTAAACATTGAATCAGTGGAGTACCTTAAAATAGACTTTTTCACGTCGTCAATTGACTGCCTACGTTTAATTTTAAATAAAAGTAAAGTGGCATCTGCATATAATACTATTTCGTGGTTATCCTTTACAAAATAGGACAAGTCATTGATATAAATAAAAAAGAACCAAGTATTGAGCCCTGCGGAACTCCCATGTTAATCGAATCAGGAGATTTTTCTCCATTGATGTCAACCCTCTGAACCCTATCACTTAAATGTAATATAAGAGTGGCATCTCTAAATCTCATCTCATAGTGGTGAAGTTGCCTGATCAATGTTTCATAAAAAAGCAATCAAAAGCCTTTGATAAGTCGCAAAACACACAAAGTGCATTATGCGAGTCCTCCCAGGCATCAAAAATTTGCTGTTAAGCTCAACACCGGCATCAGTTGTTGAGCAACCTCTCGCGCGGGTCGAAGGGCAGGGTAATGTCTCGCTAGCGTGGACTCTGTTCCAAACCTACGCTCTGAGTACAACTTTTCATTTTGACGTTTCAACTTCGACATAAAATGTACGACACTTTTGTCAAATTTGATATTTGTTGCACATGGATCATAGTTTTTGAACGTAGACCTGTGTATTTTGTGTACGACAGCCGCTTGAGCAGTAGACGTGTATATTTTTATTTTATTAAGAAAACCAACAGCATGTACATCAAAAAATAACAGGTAAGTATTGCCAATTACGGCCTATTCCATACATAGGGAAGGCCTGTGCCCCAACAGTGGGGACATTAATAGGCTGATGATGACATCCAATTACAGGTTTACCTTTAGTTAAAAATAGTAAATGTACATCAGAGATGATTAATTATAGACCAACGAAAAAATAACGTAACAACCAAGAGAAAAAAAACAATATACAAACAAGCAACTCCAAGGAGTTTTAACATGTACAAAGACATTTATACATATACACACATTTACATACCTATACATACATACATACACACTCACATAACTAAACATAGACATACATACACACAAAAAAAACTATACCTACATATTCATTCATTATAATTACATTATTAATACATTTCGGTATTCAAGTCAATCCGAATAAATGCCAGGCCATTATCCTGGGTAGCTCTCGTATTCTAGCGAATGCAGACATGAGCTCTTTTGAAGGAACCACAATAAAGTTTTCCCCTCAAGTTGTAGACCTGGGCATATAGATTGACCATTCTCCCAATTGGAGAGCACAAGCAGACGCTATAAGTTGTAAGGTGATCGGTATGCTTCGGTCATTCTAT